CTTTCAAAATTTCTACAGCTAAAACCATTTTTATTAAATCTAATTTTATTTATCTTCCAAGGGAGGGCACCCATATCCTTATTTTAATAAGTTTGAGAGTTGAATGGCTGTGATTTGCAACTATTGTCATTGTGGCGAGTAATTAAGCTGGACAGAATGATGCTTCTTGTTGAAACATCGGTTAAGGCGTGCAACCCAAAACAACTTTTCGGGGAAGGGGGGGGGGGGGGAGGGGTCGGACGATGATGGGATATCCTTGATTCTCCAGATGTCACTCAATTTTCCCAAACATGCTAAAACAAATTTTATATTTTGCAATGCACGCCAGTTTATTTTAAGCTTAATAGGTGCTTGAAAATCAAGTGTAGGATCGGTATTCTTCACAAACACAGCAGGAAAAAATATAATAAACCCTTCATCTAGAGAACACTAATGACATCAATTGATATCACACTGGGTTTTAAAAACAAAAATATATATATCAGGTTGAGGGAATGTGCCGATGCTTTAAATCGACTGTGTTTTGAATGAATTTACTCAGAGTATTCATTATCAATATTAAATAATTCCGTATACAATGTATACAACACAAAAATATACGAAAACGTCGATTTAAAACATATACCTTCGAGGGCTGTCCATAAATTTCGTGGACCATGACGTTCCTTCCAAAGTGAATAGTCCTAGATATACTTATTATATATCAAAACATATCTGTTATGAAAATCCAAGTTAGAAAAGTTTGGTTTTAGTTTCTTCAATGTAATATTTTTCTAAACATCGCAATTCTTGCAAATAGTGCGTATTCGACTTAGGGATATAACATCATAAAGTTTTTGGATTCAAATGATTATTTTCTTCATAAAACAAGCCAAAACTTAATAGAAATTAAATGAGTCTAAAATAAAGAGGTTGTCGTCATTTTCTGATACTTTTAGTATCGCTTATTGGACAGATAGTGATAATATTAAGAAAAAGCCGCAAGAAATATGTTTCAAAAATAGAGAGAAAAAGTAACATTTGCCAACTCAATGGAACACCGTCCACACATAAAATTTCGTTTTAATACGGCTGAAACGACGTAAAAGACAGATCAGTTGTTTATACTGATGACGCTCGTAAATTGTCGTATATTGTATGAATTAAGAAAAATTACTCAGTTATGGTCTGTATGTAATATTATCCTTCATACTTAGCGGTGTGGCATGATTAAAAAAAATGGCATGTGTCCACGAATATGCGATAAAAATTCAAAATCCATAATTCTGACGGTATCATGAAACTAGCTTAGCGTCAGACTGGGCTGTGCGGCTTGCATGTATAATTCATTTACACCTATATCCTTCGTAAATAGTGTGTATTAAATTTTTAAATTTACAGTTTACTTAATTATGTTCTATATCAAAATAATATCGTACACATTTGTACAGAAGCGTAAAGGTCTCTACAATTGTTGTGTTATAGCGTGTATATTGTCTTATATTTTATTGTCTTATCAACATATAAAGTTTATAATTCCTTATTTATACACATATTTTGAATTTATTTATACACATATTTTTAATTGTATTTAGATGTTTTTACATAATTTAAGGCATCTTCTTTTTTAAATTGATTTTATAGCTTTAAGTATTGTATTCTCTACTTTAAAAAATATTGATATTACGATATTGATCACAGCAACATATTGTTAAAACTTGAATAACTATTAACAAATACATAAATGAAATAAATCCCAAAAATTCTGAAAATCTTTAGAACCACGTTACTTCATAAAAATTGAATTATATCTCACAAACATTGCGTCCTAGATTCAGGAAACATGTATGAGTTTATTGCTACCCAAGACAAACTTTATTAATGACAACCAAATTTTTATAAAATAATTTCTCTTTGGGCGTTGTCTATCATTTTTAGCAATGAATATTGAACGATTTACTCAAGAAGGCAAATGGTACATATGTTTTTGGTCAAATAATTATGTACAAGATAATTAAATCATAAATGAACTCGTACCAGTGCATCGAAACATCTCATAAAAATTACGTACTTACAGTACATAACTTACAGTATATAAACCATTCTATGTTCCAAAAAATCTGCAGTAATCTTACAAAATATCATCCAAGTCATCAGAAGAATGCAGAGTACATACAATAAGCATTACATGTTAATGGTGGGTTGGAATTTTTTTTACATGTTAGTACATCTATAGGCGTCTACACTTGCTGTGCTAAAAGTTTTTCATTGTCTTTTTTATGTCTTGTTAACATATTATTGTTAGATTTGTAAAAAGGAATTTGATTCGTCATAATAATTTTTCTTATTCGTTATAACTAATTTGTTTTGGCAGCGACAGTGTTTTGTACAATACTTAACTGGTCGATTGCAGCATTTCAGATTACATGCTACCTTAAAGTTTTAATTTCAATATATATATATATAGAGAGAGAGAGGGGGGGTGGGGGGTTGTCCGGTAAAATCGTGGACAATGTGTTTTATCGAAGAATATTGGGCGCACTAAGCTGCAGTTTTCAGCAAATATTTATTTATCAAATTTAAGTACATCAAAATATAATATTTGAATTGTACAGAGTAAGGTCCTACGGCGCACGAACAAAAAATGCAGGTTTCACTAGAGAATACGCGAATATTATTTCGAAATAAAAGTATTACATAAATATGGTTGGGGTTAAAAATTGTCACATTTGTAATTTACTATCTATTATGTCGTCATTTGGAAAATTTCAAGGCATTTGCTTAATTTTTAGCAGTTTACCGAGCATTTGAAATGGGAAAGTAGTCAACACTCTAAAAATGGCGACGTTTGACGACGTTACGTCGCACCGGAGAGCAGTTCAGTTTGATTTAGATGTAGTAATGACGCCCTAAGAGAAAAATGTATAAAAATATTACTAGATCTTTAGTATACAAGTGAACTGGAAAATATGTTGGCAGACAATCAAATTCTCCAAGGTGTCTCTCAAAGTGTGGATTACATCATAAACCATTCAAAACAGATCATTACTTCAAAATGACTGTTTTTATGATCTATTTCTATTTCTATTTCTAAGATAATATTGAGCTTTTTTCAAAGCAGCGAATGGGTGAAATTTGAAATTATCAAAGAGAATAAATATTAATAAAGATATAACCAGGAATAAAGACAGGCATACTCATAACGAGACCCATTGGAACATGGACAAATTTTCTTTAAAAAAAAAATTAGGTACAGATATGAATTTAACACTTCCAATGCCTTGAAATCACAAGTTTTTGTTTTGTGAGCTTCTAATGTTTTGAATTAATCACGTTATGCATTTCAAATTCCAAGAAATCTAGTTTAAGATCATACGCTATCTCTATGCCAAAGTTCTGCTGTTAACGTCTCTCCATAACATGTTGTAAAACTTGATTTATATCGAATTAACTATACCAAAGGAGCCGAGTCCTCGGTCAAGTATTCTGAAAGCTGAGTACTGGCTGATTGTTTTATATAGTACTGCAACTATTTGTCCATCAGATTAAATAAGAAAAATTAATGTCTAAAATGTACATTTTAGTATGTAATAAAATAAGCAAATCACCAGGACCTCGATTCTTTATAGAGGTCATGGATTTTATAGGAAGCTTCTTGCCTATTTCACTTGTGCCGACAATTTGTCTGCTTGATTCTCAAGAGTAGAGAAGATGCTTTTTTTTTCTTTAAACTCAAATTATTGATTTTTATTTATTCTAATTTTCAAATGTGATCTTTAAAAGGAAATATAACTTAAATATTTTGATTTCATTTTCAAAAATTACCATCATTGGTTTGTGATGTGAGAAATATTAATGATGCAGAAGATTAAAAAAAGTTAAGTTTCATCGTGAATTTAGATGTCATAAGAAAGCTTCAAAATATCACAGTTAATCAAGGTATAAAAGTATTATTATAAAAGTTATATTATAATAGTAAATCAAGGTATTGAAGTATGTACTATTTTATATATTTTTCTGTATAAGTATTGTTAATTATAGTCAGCTATAGTTTACGAAATTACTTGTTAGGGTACTGGTCTTTATAATGTAGCCCATGAGTGAGTGGAAGGAAAAGATTTTTTCATTTAAAAAGAAAAGGGGGATGATTTTAAAGACCTTTATAACATCATCTTTACATATATACTAAAACAAAATTCAGTCCTTCTAGAGAGAATCTGGAGTCCTCAAAATTTTTAGTCCGATCAACTAATGATACATATTAGTGACTCATGCGTGTAAAAATGAAAGAAAATCTTTTATTGCCAGTGATAATTAAATACGCTTATGATTATTAAAATCATTTTTTATTCTAATTTCATTTCTTTTGAATTCTAATTCGATCAGAAGACTTTCTTATGCAACAACTTAAATTTTTTTTCATATTGAAGCCGATGAATATCTTGCTATTGGAAAAATTCAATGAATACATTATATACCTCCTATAAACGTTACTGAAGTCTATTTGAATAAAAAACAGGATAATTTTTTTTACTAATTCATAGTTAAATATGCATTAATTGTAAGCTATGCATTTGACCTTTAACACAAACACTTGTCTTCTTTAATGTGTACAGTATTCTTGTATGTTTTGTATGTTTACAATCTTTGATTATAGCACCTAACATTATTGCCTTTGGCATTACAGATAAACTAATTACCTCTTTCACATTTAAGCCATATTACATAAATAACGCACAGGTCAATACATTAGCAGATACTCATGTAAAGAAGACATTGGTGTACTTTAAACACGAGCCAAAATCACTAGATTACACTTTTACCACTAGGAGTAAAATCGTTCTGACCAATAAAAAAGACACAATGTGAAATTAGAAATTGATTTTTTTTGTCTCACTCTTGAATATCTTAATTCAGATGATAAGACATTTGGTAAACATCACGTGTAGAAACTTTCATCGGGGAGCATCTAATCTGCGATAGAGACTGCTCTGTGATACAGCTCTGTGATACAGCTCTCTGTATTCAAAACATTAGTAACCCACATTTAAAGAGAGGTGAATCATATTAACATTTTAAACAACAGACATAATGATTGGATTTTTGAGGTAGGTTAATTTACTTAAAGTTTATGTTAAATTTGGATTAAATTTACTTATTTTTCCCTTTAATTACATATAAATTATAGAAATTGTTAAGAAGAAAATTATCAAAGGTTATTACTAACTATTTGTATTCATATTTTTTATCCGGATGTTTTCGAAACTGAAAATATTTATTTGAAACTACTTCTATTTCAGTGTAAATGGTACACTTGGAACTATAAGCTTATTTATGGATTTCATATTAAGTCAAAACAAAACAGATTTTAATGAAGAAATAAAACGAGACATGCCTATTTATCTACACCAAGACCACTTTGTTCTTGTCGTTACAATTACAGTGCTCGGAATTATTGGAAATGTACTCCCACTTGTGAAGATGACATGGAACAAAAATTTCCAAGGAACTGTATTTGTTGTTATCAGAACCATAATAATCACAGATATTGTGAATTTGATACTGTACCTTGTTCATGCTGGATTTGAGCTTGATGACTTTCGTCTTGAAAAAGTCCCATGTGCAACCTTTCTGGTTGTTTTTTATGGTGTTGCTCATACCTCTGCTGCTCACGTGGTTTTTCTATTTGGACTTCGGTGTTACATGGTGTCGGAACCCATAAAATTCAATCAGTTACGGAAGCGAACAATTATCGTCTCCTCTGCTGCAATATGGGTCCTAAGCATATTATTTTCGATATTTTATTTTGTTCTACGATACAAATCAGGAATACAGACACCTAGTTATGTGATAATAGTATTTCGTGTTTACCTTATTATTGTTCCTGTCCTGCTCATCATTTTTTTCCACGTAAAGAAGATACATCGTCTCAAGAGCACATTGAGTAAACACAATATTGAACACAACATTATCAAGATGTCCCTTGTGATGTCATTAATTCTTATCGTGTACATGTCATCGGCTATTCTTTTCCTTGTGTGCTACATCTTATCATTATATAGATTTAAGAGCACAGAGAAACAATTTCTAATTGTTGCACAACTGGCTTGGTTACTTAATGCTGTGCTGAGCCCATTCATTTATGTTGTTTCAGCACCGAGTTTTCATAAATATTTCAAATACTTAATAACAACTGTCCAAACAATGAAATGTCTAGCAGATCAAATTGAAACAGATAACTGATGTTCTACATCTGCTAAAGAATTTGAAACGAACATTCAAAAGAATGAAGTTAAACAATGACTGTGTATTCATGTTTTTTCCCAAAATATTCTAAACATTAAAGGAAATGGATAGATGGTAAGAGAAATTTATCCTTCAGGTTGCAATGATTCTCATAAAAGAGACACCATGCAATCAACAAATACAATGTTTATGTAACTTTGCATGCAGACACCAATATCATTTACTTGTTAAACAAAGCATCGGTAAAAGGTACAGATAAAATGTATGAAAAGTATATCACTGACCTGACCTCAAATTCAGTAATGCGACTCTTTACTTAATTTTTTCTTTTCTTTCTTTCTTTTTCTTCTTTCTTTTTTATGAAGTCATGCATACATTATTAATTTGTCACCTCATTGGTTTCTTTTTTAAAGTAAAAGATTATGTAATACATGTATATTAATGTTAATTCAGATATAAAATTTAGAGTTATAGAAAATAAACCAGATTCCCAATTCTTTACTTTGTATTTAGAAAATACATGTATTTTCAAATAAAAGATGTTATGAACAGGGTGTTTCTTGAATTTCCATTTAGAGGATGGCTGATTCGATACACAAGAACATGCTCTGAGTATTGTCAATTTTTAAGCCGTGACAAGCTACTGACAAATAAGTTGATGTTACAAGGATTTCAACAACCCCGTTTAATGTCAGCTTTTCGCAAAGTCTACGGTCGTTATATAATAACCTTGATTGTAAAAACAATCTATTATTGGGTCGTATTTTCTCTGTTTGATACCATTTGTTAGGTCATTCCTTTTATACCGAATTTGACTTCGGAGTACTCCAATACCTGATTAAAATATAGGGCCCAAGGCGGGTTAGTCCGGTCAAGTGGGGATGCTTACTTCTCCTAGGCATCTAATCATACATTTTTGGTGATTCTAGGGGTCCATGTTTTTGCCCTGTTTACGATTCGTTTTGTTAACTGTTTAATATATGAGATTGATCACTGTTCGTTTTCTTCACATTTTACATTGTAGGGCAAAGCCTTATGCCATGAGTTTTGCTTAATTTATCACTTAAATTTTGGTCGTAACTCCTTTTGACAAACTTGCTAAAGAAACAAAAATTTTCAATCTAAAAATATTGTAGTTCTGTCTAATTAATATTTAGTACAATTAATTTCATGGTTTAAAGCTGATGTAAAAATTATGAAATGTGCCCTTTTGAAATGTATTTATTCAAAAATCTGTAATTTAAAACTCCTTCCCTTTTTCATGCGCCTTAATAAGATAAAACACAAACCTGGATAAGATTCAAGCTTTTCTGTCAGGTTATTGGCTTTTTCTCATTTACATATTTTAGCTTACTCTGAATCGTACCAGGATCTTAATTATCTCAGGCTTTGTTACATTTTTCTCCATGGTTTTCTGATAACCGTTACATAAGACTCATTTGCATGTGAAAGTTTCCTATATCTGAATAATATCGAAAGCATCATTTTCATACGAGTTCTTACTAGTTTGAACTCATCATACATCAATGCAATAAAGGAGGAAAAAGACGAATGGAGGATAGAGGGAATTTGAAGGGGGAAAATTGGGAGGAAAGAAAGAAAATGGAGATGGAGACTCTCCCCGTCTTTTCCGCATTTCTGGTTCTCAGTGCTTTATTACTATGGTATTTATAAGGCAAGCATTTAATATTTTTACAAAATTATCAACAACAATGAGAATGAAGTTTGATGTTATGGTAACTACTATGAAAAGTTTTTGGCTTCAACACTTTATCAAAGACGCCACAGAAAAATCTTTTTTTTTTCTTTCTATGGTGTTAGTGATGGGTAGAATGGTGGGCATTGTTTGAGCAGCTAAAATTTTCAATATATCAAGAACAAAATTTTTAAAAATTCATTCTTTTTATTCAAAGAAACTGGGGGGATAAGCCGAGCCATATGCCTACATAACGATCGATAAAAAATCAATAAATTCATTTTACAAAAATTTCACTTTTTGTTGAATTAATGTAATGCTTATTACCATTTGCATATAAATTTGACAAAACCTGAATACTGTAACAGCGAAAATGATTCTGATTAACACAACAAAATGACATCACGCTCAATTTTCACAGAAACTGACATAAATTGGATGATATAACTACATTTTTTAAATAGAGTGGGTCACCGTACCATTTTTTTGAGAACGATTAATGAAAGGCAATGGAAAGATGTTGCTTTTTACACTTGCAAAAATTTGGTATGAAGACCCACTCTACATAAAAAATTAAGTTAGCTTACTTAAATTTTCACCGTGGTCTTAAAAAATTCTAAGTCCAAAAACGCTTGCTAAATATAGAGAACTGTATGCTATTTAAATGGAAATGTTAGTGTGACTCCGTGGTCTAGTGGTTAGCGATGAGCTCTTTAAAGGGACGTTTATTGAGGAAAGTGTTCGAGTCATGCTCTGATTTTTTTTTTTTTTTTTTTTTTTTTTTTTTTTTTTTTTTGAATTTTTTAGTTTTAATTTTGTTTTACTTTATAAAAAATGTCTATAGGAATAACATATTTTTCACTGAAAATAAAATATATATATGTAATAATGAACTTATTTACAGTAAATTATTTAAAATGCCGGATAAAAATTATAATAGATATTTGAATACTTTTATTCCCGTTTTATTTATTTTAAATAAAAGCGCTTCTAGATCACCATTATCATTATATACGATGTTAACATTTTTATAATATCTCCACAATAAGTGTAAACACTCAATATGCAGATTAATTAATAGAAGTCCTTACCCATGTTAGACATTTGTGACAGTAAATGAAAGTCAACTGTTTAGCTTGTTTAGAATATAAATATCATTTTGAAAACTACGGTAAACATTAAAATGCTCAAGTAAATTTGAACAATTGAGAAATTTTTTCCAATAAATGTTCTTGCATAGCTGAAAAATGGGCATGGGCACATGGCTCGTCTTATCCCCCCAGATTCTTTATTATATTTTTTTTATTTTTGAGAATATAAATCATACTTTGAGTGAACTTGCATCCCGTGATTGAAAAGATCACTCAAAGATTCTTGGCTAAGATGCCATATGTGGCCTGTCACACAGATAACAACATTACAAACTGACCTTCATCAGCAGGTACCAAGGCTATAAAATCACCGCCTTAAAGCATTTTTGGGACATTAACTGGAGATTTCATAGCATAAGCAGATAATTTGTGGATTAATCATCTTCATTCATCACATACTTTAATGCAGTATGCTTTAAATAAAAAATACATATGTAGATAAATCCCTGCTTTGTCCATGTGAGAGTGGAGTAACTAGTTAATAAAAAAGGTAATCTTTTACGGAAAAAGACTACCATTGAATAATAATACAATAAAAAAAAAAACCAAAACTCGGCGTTAAATACAGTCATTAAATACTCTCTCCAAGAAGAATAGAATTTGGGAAATTGTAACAAACATTTGACATTTCCAACTCATAACAATCAAATTCACATTGCAGATAGATATCCTTATTTTAACTGGTCTGAGAACTGAATTGCTGTGATCGATTTGCACCTTGTGTCTGAGGGAGTAAATTTAGCAGAAAATGTCTACAATCAGGGTCAACGTTTTGAGATTTCGGGAATCGAGGTTTGGAGGGGGAGAAGTTCACTACAGAATGTATAAGTAAGCAGTGATTAAGATTATAAATGAGTAAAGTAATTATTCATCCAACCACAATAGGTGTAATTTTTTTTAAACATTCTGATACCAAAAGATCAATTTTATATTTCTCTCTGCACGCAAAAAGCTTATCAGGTGCTTGAAAAGCAAGTGTACGATCTGAATATTTCTCAAATAAAGCATACAAAAATGAAACAAAACCCTTCATCTAGAGAAAACTGATGAAACCCAAAGATTATACTCATGTTTTCGTATCATACAAATATGATTAACACTCTGCATGTTTAGGGACTCTTTTATTTCGGCCAAATACATTGATTGGTTGATTGTTGTTAAACGTCCCTCTCGAGAATTTTTCACTCATATGGAGACGCCACCACTTGCCGGTGGAGGGCTACAAATTTTGACCTATACTCGGCACTTAGGGCCATTGAGCATTGAGGGATCTTTTTCGTGCCAGCACCTACTGCGACACGGGATCTCGGTTTAAACAGTCTCATCCGAAGGACCGGTCTCCACGTCCCACAGTAGGATTCGAACCCGCGACATAAGGATCAACTCCTTACTCCGCGACTCTAGAGCAGACGCTCTAACCACTGCGCCACGCGGGCGACTACATGAGAAGAAGAAAACACTTGCTGTGGTCTTCAATTCGACATTCAGATATATCGACGATTTATCAAATAACAATAGTTACGTTCATTCATATGTCAACTCGATATATCCCTGTGAACTTGAAATAAAAGACACCACAGAGTCTGCCACATCTGTTTCATATTTGGATGTTTTACTGACTAATAGACGATAAGGCCAACTAACATCAAAATTGAATTAAAAAACGAGATGACTTCAGCTTTTCCATTGTCAACTTTCCTATTTATAAAGTAATATTCCGCTTTCACCTGCATATGGGTTTTATGTCTCCCAACTTTCAATACTGAAGACTCTAGATCTTATCCTCACCTTTTTCCGATACGTCTTGAAATAGGTAATGCACATGTGAAATACGAAACCCTTAAATCCTCTCATGCGATTTAATGTCCCCGCGCTTTTGTGTGGAGGACAAAGATGTTAAAACTCTTGATAAAACTAAGAATAACCTCAGTTTGTTAAACATTTTTAAACCCAGAGTTAAAGGAGGTTCATAAGAGGAAATAGATAGCATTTTTGATTTGGAAACAGCAAGGAAAAATCAGAATTTTGACAAGGATGATGGGCATTTATCAAGACATATTAGATAATAATTTGTTGAGGAAATCTGATTAAAATCATATGGAGATCCTACGGAAGCCTGTCGAGGCCAATTCAGAGAGAGAAATATTTTTTATTGCGTTTAAACGCAATAATTATTGCGTTTAATCGCAAAACATTGCGTTTAATCGCAACAATCATTGCGTTTAAACGCAAAAGATTGCGTTTAATCGCAATGTATATTGCGTTTAAACGCAAAACACTTTGCGTTTAATCGCAAAAGATTGCGATTAAACGCAATACTTTTGCGATTAAACGCAATAATTTTTGCGTTTAATCGCAATGATATTTTTGCGTTTAAACGCAATAATTTTTGCGATTAAACGCAATACTTTTGCGTTAAATCGCAATAATTTTTGCGTTTAAACGCAATACTTTTGCGATTAAACGCAATACTTTTGCGATTAAACGCAATACTTTTGCGATTAAACGCAATACTTTTGCGATTAATCGCAACAATTTTTGCGTTTAAACGCAATACTTTTGCGATTAAACGCAATACTTTTTGCGTTTAAACGCAATAATCTTTGCGTTCAAAGGCAATAATCTTTGTGTTTAAATGCA